ATATTGTCGATTGAATGCACGATATCGCTGATGAGATATGTACAAAAGGAGGAGGGGGTGTTTGGGGTATGGTCTGTCTTTGACATTTGTTTTTTTTTTTGCAACAAATTATTGATCATCATAATATTTACTTATCGTTTTTATTTTTTGCTAATAAAACAAAGTCGACTATAATTGTTTTTCATATACTAAAAATTTAGAAATGGCTTAATTTTTCTCATTACATACGTCAGATCCGCAGAGCCTACCTTCTACAATATTATAATAATTAGTATTAATAACATATTATACAGTGCGGGATGTGAATGGAAGAAAGTTTTAAGAGAATTGGGAATAATAATATTTCATTTACTACCCTAGTGTTGGTTTCCCGTTATACAATAATAGTCATGTATAACATTATGTTATCAACTTTTTTGTCATTACTAGAGAAGCCCTTTCGCTTGTTTTTATTCCCATATTTCATACCCCCATACTATTAACTAGATTCTTTAAAAACGTCATGATCATTTTCTTTGATATAATAAATTATAATATGTCATAATAAAATAATACCATTAACCTCTGATCGTGCTTATAAGTTACAGTTGTATATAATTATTATTATATTCAATATTGTGATATTACTTATTTGTGAATATGTTTAAGATTTTATTTTATTTTATTACATATTACAATATGTTATCTAATATAATTCCCTCAAATATAAGTAATTGTAATTTTAATACGTATATTCGCATTCTCGTTCCGATCGATTCAGGCCACTTGACACTTTGACAAAAGAACATCATCCGTTCTAAGCAAATCGCCACACAATAATAATATTATTATTATCATCATCGTATGACGGTCGCGTGCATTTGAGGCCCCCCACGACAGTCTGCGGCGGCAAAGCTGGTAACGCAGATTTTATGGTTTTTTCGTATATATTTTTTGAGACGTCTGCCAAAAACGATCGCTCGACCGTCAGTCGCTGTTCAGCTGTTGTCTCTCGGGGGTTTTTGGCACCGCGATCCTTATAATATATAATAATAATATCATATCGACGGTCTCCGTTATCATCGCTCGCTCGCTCCATCACTGCCGCGCGAAGTCGACTGCACCTGCGGCGTGGGTGGACGACGGATGGCTGGGATGGTAGATCTGCGGGGGGTGGGGGAGGGAGTTTTTCGAGTAGAAATCGCGAACAAAAACCACGACACCCGCGACCCGCAGCCATTGCCGTCGCGTTTGCAGACGGTGGTGCGGTAGCCAGAAGCAAAAAAAAATACCATCAGTGCCAGTTGGCATTTTTCTCGCGCGGGGTGTCCTCCGTCGCGACGCGCGCGCGCCGGTCGGTCGGTCGTCGCTCTGTGATAACGAAACTACGCGGGCGGCGGTGGCCGGGTGATCCGGCCGCGCAGAGGACGACGACGAAATAACGCCATTACCTCAGAGACGGGCCAGACCATGTATGGAATTCTTGGCTCGGAGCGGCGTTTTCGAGGTGGCGGTGACCGTGTTCCTCATTGAATACTACTCATGGCGTCGGGATTTCTGAAAACTCGATGTGGAACCCCGCACGTTTTGGCCGAGCCGCTCCCCGTGCACTGCGAAAGAATACGAGATATTACAGGGAGAAAACTCTGGTTAGAACGGAAAAAACAACGTATTATTGCTAACTGATATAAAAGGCGAGCGTAAATGAATAATATATTGAAAACCTCAAAGTGTATATCTGACCCGAGTATTATAGTTAATTGGTGACGGCTGGGCTTAGTATATAAAAATCAACACTTTGTGTATAGTTGTATATAGTAACGATAGTTCTAGGACCTGGTTCTGACGTGCCAGTTATAAGAAAAAAATACTTTCCACCTATTTGTGACCGACTTTTTATTGTTAATCAATATTAATATTATGTACTTAACAACAATTTATAATTTTATAGGGAATTTTAGTAATAAATAACTTGTTTTCTTGGACTTTTTTTTTACCGTTTACGATTGAATACAATATAGAATGCATTGAACACGTAATATTATTATTATGAAAACTAAACGCGGTGATCGTGGTCGTTTCGGCGATGGACGAGCGGAAATTAAAAAGAAAACGGTTTTGGGCGGCGGGAAAGGCACATTATAAATACGCTCTACGACACAACTACGGTCTCTAATACGGCGACGACGGCGCGCGTGGTACCTAACCTACGCTCGATTTCTATTTCTATTGTTGGCCCGTAAATGATTTTCGTTAATCGATTCGTAGGTTTTAGCAGATACCTATGTAATGAACAATTATTATATTATGGCATGTTGTCACTTGTCACAGTACCTATGCAGAAAAATACTATTTGGAATTACAACAGTATTGTGACGGTGTATTTTTACTATCATAAATATTGTATTATAGAAGCCGCCGCCGCATAGTTTGTTCCGCAAAAAACAAACGAGCTTCCTTTATGTATCGTGATTCGTGACACACACACAAACACAAACACGTGCGTGTGCTAAACGCGAAATATTATTATGACATAATATAATATTGTATTATTCATTATCCGTTTGGTTGTATATTATATTATCAGGTATTATTAAAAATATTAATCGTTGCGCCCGCGTGTACTGTATCAACTATTATACTACAATATTGTCGGCGGTCACTCCTCCCACCGAGACCTGAATACACCATGCTCACGGTGCCCAATATTATTATAGTATAATCACCGTAATATTAATCATAATATGATAGACGCGAAACGATAGGAAGACGACAAGTTGAACCGTACGAATTATGTATTAGTAATGCGTATTACTGTATTAGGCGTATACCGAGCTTATGATTTAGTATGTTCGCTTATAAAATGTAGGAACTAGTAAGTATATATGTATTATTATTAAGCCGAACGGGACAATATTGCCGACGTACTCTAAATCACACGACGCCGCGATACATTATCTCTAGCGTACGACGCAGTTCTCAGCTGTGGGATTCAATTATTGTATTATTGTAAATTATTATATCTCAATTGTCTATCTCTCTTTCTCTCTCGTAACAACATTTGACCACGTATTACTTTATGCAACAAAGTTTACTTACTTTGTTATCGTACTCACGCCATAGGCGCAAATAGCGTTTGGGATTTGGGGGAACTAAATCCTAACTTTGATAACATTGAATAAGCTTAAAACAAAATGTAAGAAATTTTGGAAGGGGCTATGAACACTTTTAGCCCTTAAAGCCCCTCCCCCTATTTGCACCTATTGCATGCTTGATGTTGCATTTTCCCCGGCCACCGCGCGATTTATTTACTAACTTTTCCTGAAACATAATTATAATATTATATAGTTACAGTGGCCCTAGTTTGTTTTTAATAACACTAAGGCGTTTCAAAATTCACTCTGGGTAGGACGTGTTACTGACGGTTTTTCCGAAGACAATAAGACGTGGTCGTTCGATCAAAAACATAATAATCCGACTAATAAATGTACTGACTTTCCTCTCATCCTCCTCTTTCCCCATAACTTGGTACATATTGTACGTTATGATAAATTATATTAATTCGTAAATATATACACGTCGAGTTCAATTCATTAATTGTGTAGCTACGGAAAACATCTTTAGGTAATACATTTTTATTTTAGTTGATTTTTCTAGTGTATTCTCATTCTGTTCTAATAGAAATTAACATTTTATTTTATTATGATCCAGTATTCCAAAACTCCTAATGACATCGCTTGAAACTGAAGTAAATAAAGTGCCTTTATCTCTATAACGATTAAACGAATTTAAAAAAAAAAAGTAATGATATCTATTATACTATAATGTAATAATATTGCACGGTTTCTTGTATTTCTCCTACAGTCTCAGTCGAAAATAAATATATTATTCACATAAATGCCCACATGATAACGATGCCAATATTGGTTAATGGTTTTGAATAAATTATTATGCTGCTATATTATAATATATATATATATATATTATGGTATAACGATAAAACATAGGCGTAGAGACCGTAGAGTATAATGTATAATGTACACTCGTGTGGCACTTATAACCGATGTAAAATTCATCGTAATAATTGTTATTGCGCGTGTGTTTACATATTACAGCACTGCGATAATAATACCTATTCGAAATATTATTCGAAAAAATTGTATAATTTTTTTTTTAACGTTCAAGTCTTGCCGTGTACGAAATAAGTAAGTGACGATAAGTGTGTGTACAATCACTACAATCTGAAAGTGCAACTGGCAAGTAATAAAACCGTGTACATTGTATCGTTATTACTTATTATTATTGGACATGACATGATATAATATTTCGTTCTCGGCCGTGAGGAAACAACAAAAACAATAATTATAAACCGAAATATCACTTAATGGAAATCCACTGGCCAACGCTTAAAGAGAAAATTTATTTTGAAAAAAGCCCCTCTCGCGTGCTCGTTCGTAGTTTTTCTCTCCTGCCGCGCGCGTCAAGCACGGTGCTCGGCTGCGGCGATTCAAGGGCGTCACAATGGAGCGGGGCGTTGTGCGCGCAGCTGTTGGCACACTCCTCGTGCATGCGATCCCACCTCGCGCCGCCCTGACGGTCGTCGTCGCTTTTGTGCGTGCGTGTGCGCACGGCTCTTTCGGCGTGCATGCCACACAAAACAATCGCATAAACTCGCTATCGCTATCGATAGTCGTTGGTCGGCGTAGACGATAATCGTTTACGATTGTCTTCGTGTGACTTCGCTACGGGTGTGCAGCTTAGATCATATACTATATGATCTAAGGTGTGCAGCAGCGCTTCGGCGGCCGCGATAGTGGTTGTCGGCTGGGGAGGGCGTATATAGAGCCGGTCGTAAAGACCGCTTCGTAGTTTTCGGTAGAGGAGTGGGGGAACGGGGGAACGGTGGGGAAAAAATCGATAGTGTACGGGTACGCCGCCGGGCGCGTGTGCGTGCGGGTTGACGACGGGCGCTCACCGCGATTCCGGAGGACGGCCAGTTCGTGTTGAGCGCGCGGTTTGTCATGCCAGCAGTGGTTTTGCCGACTCGCCACTGTATAGCAGCAACGAACACGACGACGACGACGACGACCAAAAAATCGCCTTCTTCCGCCGCCGTTTCTATTGCTGCTGCCGGTAACAATATCACGACGACGACGCTCTACTGGTTGCCTGTAGTGGATAGCCCGGCGTGTTGTTTTTGCTGTTATTGCGGCGGTCGGCTGTTCGTCGTCGGCGGTGTCCCGACCACCGGACGTGTAAATAGCAACGTTGGTATCAGCAGTGCGTTGAGTCGTTTCGACGCGTGTACGCCACCGCCGCCCCCGTCGCGTAATTTCGGTAGGCTCTGCCGGTGTGACGGTGCCGTAGTCGCCGCCACCACCGCCGCCGTCGTGCTACTTGTGCCGTATGTGCTTGGGCCGCCGTGCTTCCGACCGATCGTATTGCCGCCCACGTTCGTCGCCGCTGCCAATCACCTCAGGCATCACCGCCGGATACATCACCAACACCACCACTACCTGTACAACACGGCCGTCGCCGGCAACAATATGGAAACTAGGTAAATACCTTCTAATCGAATAAAAACCGTTTTTATCTATCGCCACGCGTAGAGTTTCGGCCTGATAATAAATTAAGAACTCGGTTAATCGTCGTCGATAACGTAGTAGTTAAAAGCAGCAACAACAACAACAACAATAATAATGCTGTAATACCCTTGTCGCACGTCCTCACCGTCGACCAATCATAAAAAAAGTTATCTATAAATTATAATAATTATTATCAAAAGAATAAATAGATATAATAATAATATAATAATAATAATGATAGTGATAATAATACAATATGCGCACACTGTCATATCGTGTCGTATTATATCATACATCCTTCTACTTATCATCAGAATATTATATATCGTGATAACCATTTACTTTGTGTTCTCGTTGTTACACCCTTTCGCGAAGACCCGACACCACTTCCGCCGCCCTCGTCCCTACCTATAATCCACCTATCTACCTACCTACCAACCTACCTACCTACCAACCAACCAACCAATCTACCTACCTACCTACACGGTCAACGTTGTATATGCCCGCTTAGAACTTGATGTACGGCAACAGCGGACGCCATCGTTTATTGAACCGGTCTTGAAAAAACCGCTTCGGTTGCCCTTGAACCCATATCCCAGCCGGCCACTTTAGTATCTGATGTTGTATTATATTATACGTATGTATGCTCGGTCGCCGTTCTCTTTTTCTGTTTTGAGTTTTTTTTATCATTATTATTCCTTTCCGACTCGGCCGAAGACCGAGGGCTTTATTTCGGTCCGATTTAGCGGTGGGGAAAAGGCGTTTAGTGGAGGGGAAGGGAGGGGAGTTGGCGCAACGTCGTTACACAACAACAGCTGCTGCTGCTGCTAACGTGAGTAGTGTGTGTATGTGCGTGTTTTTTTATTTTACCAAAGCACAAAGAATATCATACTAAAATTGTAACCAGTGAAAGTTTTTTCGCTTCCGCCCCGTCGTCGTGGCGTACACAACAACAACGGCGGCGGTCGCCTGAAATAATTACGTCGGGCTGGGGCCCGGTGGTCAGCACGAGCCGCAGGGACGTTGACCTCCTCCGCCACCGTCACCGCGTATAATTATACGCGAAACGGCCATCCCCCTTTTGTTGTAACGGTTCGGTTGCGCAATGCCCGTTGGTGAGGAGGTAGTAGTAGAGTAGAAGAGGTATGTCGCTGAGGGGTAGTGGCGGTGGCGGTGAAGTGTGTGTGTGTGTGCGTGTACATAAAGGGGTGTGCGGGTAGTGGTAATGGTAGTAGTGGTGCGGGTATATAGACAGCTCACAATGCGTATTAAAAAAATAAAATAAAAAAAGCTCCCCTCGTAGTTTTGTATTATGTATATGACGTGATAAATGCGTTCCGGGCGCTGTGTACAATGTAAAATGCACTTAAATGCGCACTGCTGTTGTGTGTGTATGTGTAGTGCTCGCCAGCGTTAGGCGAACGTATGTTGTTATAGGTACCAGCGTATTATATGTGCTACACAACTACAATGTGTTTGCATTGAGCGCGTAGGTACTTTTGGCCGTGTTTGTTTTTCCTCTCTCGAAAAAAGCGCCAAAAATAGGCTATGCTCACGCCCACAGAACAAAGCGAGAAAAAAAATGTGTATAATATCGCGTTCGTGTTTTTAACAATATTATTGACCCGTAACAAATTTTATTTTACGGGCTCGGCTGACCGGAATGTTTTACAAAACGACTGCCGTGCGTGTTTCGGCGTAGACGGCCAAAAAGTTACAGAACGGTCGAATATCTCGTTTTTATACATTATAATACATACTCTACGGGATAAGTTTTTTTTGGGTAAATAAAAGAAGAACTCGGGTCAGATAAAATCCATGGGTTAGAACAAACAATAACGTGATGAGAACCATGTGCGCTATACACGAAGACTCCGTGTAATGTACTGGTATCGCGTCCCGATATATTTTTTTTTTAAATCATCGGGACATCGACGTTTTATCGTTGACGACGAAATATTATTGTACGCACACTGGCTGTGTTCGTCGGTTCGGTTCGTCACGACGGGGAATGTGTGTTTTCGACGGTTTTTATCAACACACAGATCTGACGCCGTGAACGGCCGGTCGGTTGACGCATTATAACATGTTCGCAGTTTGCAGATGATGCATTGTGCTCGCGCGTACGGTAATAATAATATGATGTATATGCAGTCTCTGACTTCGGAGCGCACTCGAAAAAATGTCGTTAACGCCGCATCCCTCGTGTGGTAAGAATATAATATATATATATGTATGGGGAGCAATGGGAAAAAGGGACATGACAGTGGCGGCTCGCACCCCTGCAAATTCCCGCGACGAGAGAACCCTCTCCGACTACGACGTCGGCGCGGCCCCGACCCTCAGCGCGCGGAGAAAGAAACCGTCGTCTTGCCATGTCTCGGTGGTGGGTTCTCAAAATGCGATGTATGAGTGTGTGCTCTACGGTTTCGAGAATCGTTCGGTTTATATTATACCTATATATATATATATATTATATTATATTACACCGTAGTACACGAACGGCGGATACGGTCGTTGCCGCAGCCAATGTATACGGTCTCGACACGCACGTAAAAAGCCGTGGCGGCGAGTGAGTGAATTCTGTAAGTGTATGAGAGAGAAAGAGAGAGAGAGAGAGAAAGAAAGAATGAGTGATTCGAGTTACTGCGGTATAAAGTATACCCCAGAAGGCGACGTTGCCGGTCCGTGCGCCGGCCATCTGTGTGCGGTCGCTCTTTGTTTATTACGTATCTCCGGACACGACGTCTACGTCAGTAAATCGCCGGTGCTTCGGTTGTTTTTACTTCGAACCCGCGCTGCCGCCGCCGTCGTCGTTGTGTTCATCATCATGTGGGACTAAAAATTCTCATTGGATCGTATTATGATGGTATAATCCTTGAGCCCACCAACACCCAATAACGAGGTTGTGGTCGTATAATGCAGTCGTCAAGGACGCAATTCGGGTGGGAGAGGGACCGAAGAAATCTTATAGAGGAAACGTTGACAATCCGATAACCCCTAGTCATACTATTTTGTTATCTATTCTTTTATCTCATTCGAGTACACGCTTATCACATATTATATATTTTTATATATTATGTATAATACAAATGTGACGACTTTTCTCTCTTACCATCTGTCTCCTTGTATGGTACACAAATTATTTCTTTTTGTCTGTGACTGTGAGTGAGTATATTTCGTCCACCTACAACCGATGCCTGCCTGCATCGCCACCAGCAGCAGCAACAGCCCCCTTTCACTACGAGTTTTTTTCTTCTCTCCCGTTCACTCTGTCCGTCCGTCTCTCTTTCTGTAACCTTTTGTGTGTCCGCTATACACACACGCACACACACCTGGATCGCCGGCGACGACGGCGGCTGCTGGGTAGAGCGAGCGGGCGGTGCGAGGAGGTGTGGGATGATCGGTGTGTGTGTGAGCGCAGGTATCGCCAGGTGGTTTTTATTATTATAGTTTTTTTTCCCCGACGGATTCGACGAGAGACACCCACCGTACACGTACATAATAATATCCAACAACAATACAAAAGTTTTGTGAATAACACCTCCACCCTCACTGCTGCACGTCGTCGCGTTGTCGCGCCGTCCGAATGTGTGGTGGTGAGTGAGTGAGGAGTACCTGTTGTGCGAGAAAATAAAATGTATACACGTCTGCTGTCCTGACACTATATAGTGTATTTGAGATTTATTCATTGGAATTCGTCGTATTTTACTCTTATATATTATATATTATGTGAGATGTCGAACTCGGCGGCGACGGCGGCGCCGCGCGAATACCTTCGAATCCGCCTTGGCCTAATTTCCCACATAGCGTTGTGTAGTAATATTTCTGTGGTGTGTGTATATATAGGTAGTAGGCAGTGTTATTTATATTATTATATGTGTTAATATTATTTTTATTAATTTTCTCAATCTTCTAGAGCCGCGCGCCATTAGAAATTGCTTGAGTGGTTTCGGGTGAAATGTGAAAAGTGAAATCATATTAAGAGTTTTCGGTCGAATTGTCACACGATAAAAAATAATAGCGGAAAACAATTAACATTGGTTATTTATTTTTATACTTCGTATTCGCGTATATAATATTATAGTTATATAATTGGAATTACGTCTTTTTTTTTCTATCAAATTTTACTAGTAATCTGTTCCGTTCATAAGAGATTCAATTTTTTTCCACTATTTTCGACCTTAACCGGAGTGATTTTGTGTCGAGAGAGAATTTGAAATGGACCGATAGATAAATATTATGACAGACGGCGAGATGCAGTAGCGCAGTCTTAGCCTCTCGTCGATTGTTTATGTGCGAGTGTTACGAGTGCGACATTTACGGACAAGGCCGACTCCTGGCTGTATCCAATAATAATTATTATTCACAAATGTGCATAATATGTGTTTTTGTAATGACATGGATCAATAAAGAAGTCATTATGCGGGTCAAGGCATTGGGTATCAAACTTATCTTACAAATAATACCAAATTTAATTGTCTCTATGGCTCTATAAGAACAACTAATGGCACCCCTCCTGATTTGATTTTATCAGATAATATTCAAACCAAGGCGAATAATATTATCATTTAAACTATCCTCATGTTTTCAGTATTTATCTGACACAATATGTATACAAATATGTCATATCGAATGAGAAACTTGCTTATCTTCGGAGGTGAGTATAGGTAATACTTGTATACCTTATTTAAGCATTTATAATGGGTCTAATAAATATTTGGGTATAACTTCATAACTCCATCGCTTTCTATATAATAGCAATTTTGGTGAAAACTAAGAACATTTTTTTTGTTTTTTTTTTTATTTACGGAGCCTGTGCTCAATTGAAAAGTACGCGAACACGGGGATATTATTTTTTCTTTCAAAGTATGCAAAATAGCAACGCACAGCTGTACGGAACAAGCAGCTGGTAGTTCCTCGCGTCCTGGGAATATTCACGAGTTTCTTCCCTTCTCCCCGACATCGTTATTTTATAAATGCCCTTTTAGAATCCCGGGCCCCCCTCTTATCGTTACGGTTAACGCGAACACATCACAGCATGCTGCAGAAGAGCACCGTCCACTTGATCTTATACGAAGAAAATGTATGTTCTCCTTGGTCGTCCAACCGTATTTATATGCATATATTGTATCATAATATTATATTCATTTCCGTCTAAATATAATTTTATATTTTGAAAAAAAAAGCCAAAGAAGCCTAAAATGGAATTCGATTGCAGCCATTTGTGCAGACGACCGCGGCGGTTCTCTTTAATTGGCTACCCTTCTCCGTTGTGTATTTTACGATCAGCTGTTCTCGTGGATTTATATCGGACGATTCACACCTTAAGAACATAATAATATATAGGGTGGTAGAGAATTGTCTTTGGCCCCCAGGTACACACGGTCCCGTTTATATAACGGGATCCCTCATGCGGGACAATTATTATGCGAGCAGTGATGGCCAAATGTACGGAACGACCCAGCAACCGGTGCCTCGAACCCAACGCCGCTTTGGAAACCCCTCAGCGGCGGGACCGGTTGGAAAGGAGGTGCGATGACACCATTAGGACGACATTATCATATCCCTCCGACGGTTACGGACCCCGTGCGAGAAAGGGTTCCCCGTGCGGGAATACCGGTTGCTATAGACGTAGAAATGGAGAGAGAGAACGACAACAATGAAAGAAGAGGATTCCTTCTATTTGGCTTTGGTTCCCACCGTCTGTGTCAAGGGCGGTTAGTCGTCTGCCGTCGCGTCTTCCTAAACTGTCTTGCCACTCTCAGTGTAGTTTTCGGTGCGTTCTCGGCTCGTTAACGTTTTTATTTAATATTTACTCTGTTATTTTTATAGTATTTTCTTATTCGCTTTGGTGCTCTGATTTTAGTGAACGTTAAGTTAGTTAATTTTGTACTTACTTATAAAAATATTTATCATGAATCGCGATTACCATTCTGTAAGAGCCCAAATGTCCACATTATTTCCTCCGTAAGTATATAATATTGTTACGTTTTTTAATATCGAATTGTATGGTAATATGTCTACAAAATTTCGTTTAAAATATCACGTGTATCTAAAATTGGGAGTAAATGAAAACCGTCAAGTTCTTATAGTGCAAATATACCACGTCGTATGTGTGTCTTAATTTCCTTGACATTTTTCTCAATGTTTGCTTAACATGCATATACATGGTCTTAAAAAGTATTTGTTTTTTTTTCTAAATTTTCCACTTGAACGACGAGTTTCTCCTATCGGCGGAGAAGTGTGTGTACAACTATATCATTATTATTTGAGACCTCAAACGGAAACCCTAACAACACAGCGTCGCGTAACATGGAAAATGTGTACCTATGTGTGTGTCCTAGTTAGGAAATGCGCGTGACAACCGGTGGCGCCCGGGTACAACTAAGTCAAGGGTACTATTATATGTATTCCTTACACTGTTGTGAACCGCGTATATAGTGTCGGGCCAGAAGTGGCGGTCAGATAGCACGGCGGCAGGCGGTGTCTGTGATATGGGACAACTGAGGTTTTTTTCTTATACATTAGTCATTATTATTATTATTATTATTATTTTTACGCAATCGATTGCGACATGCCCGGGAAAGCCGCCGCTCGACGGACGGGAAAACGCAGCCGCGTGTAACGACTCAGCCGCTGTGGTGGCGGTGGCAGCGGCAACGGCAACCAAGTAATATACCAGCGCGAAAAGGAAGTGACCTTGGTCGCGGGCGGCCTTGTCCGGCGGTGGTTATAATATAGCTGCAGTCTGTGTGTATTAATATACCTATGCTCGTTAGCTTATGAAACTACTGCTGTGCCCCACCTCGGCTCACCTCCGCCGCCCACCCTTTGCCATCTCTGCGTGTGATATCACGTTCATCGGTCTGTGTGTATGTGTTTGTTGTGTATTTCCTCTCCGTTCGCCTTTCATATGACGCCCACAACCCCGTTTACAAAATCGTGTCGATCACGTTTCCTGAAACGAGACGAGTTAATAATATTGAATCGTGCTCGGTGAAAAATTAATTATAAAAATCCCTCGAGTTAGTGTGATTTTTGTGATTTCTAGAATAATAACGGGGGTCCATTTCCAGTGTAATATTATATGTTTAGGTGTACGCATCACTTTGCTCGAGGTTTTGCGTAATGTTCTTTTTTTTACGATACTCGAAATGTTTATCTCGCAACATGATGACTATACGGCAACGAATAAACGACGGCTGTAAATCAAGATATATTGTGTTTATTTTGTTCGCGTCGACAATGAGACGTTTCGAAATTGCGTACGTTTCCAATTCATGGCGTCAGTGTACGCCTAACATACAAATATTATGTGTATTTTCGTGGAATGGTGTGTAGTACGGTGTCGCCCATAAAATGGTCGACGATCGCGTTGGCCACTGCAGAGCCCTGCTCTTATCAACAGGGTTACACAAAAACGCCGCGACGTGTGTGATAAAATGAGAAGATAAATAAAGGGTTATATAAAAAACCGTATGTACCTACGCTCGCGCTTATTTATTTTTTTGACGACTTGAGAACGAAGTCGTTAGTATGTCGTAATCGTGTAGAGGAGATTATGTATTTTTATATCAGTACTGCACTTACTGCCGATACGGACGAAGGTGTATATTATTATACATGTATTATAGAGTGTGTATTATAATAATAATATTAATAATATATTTTATAATAATAATATATAAACGCTGTGGGCCGGCTTCTGCGCGCACCTCTCTATATAATATCATAGTCGCACACCAAGGCCAGACTCGGTTCCGAAGGCTGCTGCTGGTTCTCGGGTGACGTCACACCTGGTTTCTTTGTTGTCTCGTTTTCCGCTATATGCAGTATGGCGTGCCCGCCTATATACATTATAATAAAGATATAATATCGTTGTGTCGGGTCCCCGTCGGGCCCCGAAGAAATGGTAAAACCACCGAAGAATTGCACCCAGAATATTGTCGTAGGTATATTATCTTATGTTGTAAGCGTTCTCGCGCCCCACGTTGACCCCGGCCCGGCGCCCATTGCGGTGCCGGGTAAAAATATAAAAAGATGTTATACTATAATAATGAAGTGCACCTATATAATATAAAACAGTCTGAAGCTCTCGGAAGAGGAGAACAAAGAGAGGTTGACCGCACTAAGGATTTCGTGTACGTACCAACGATTTGTACTGTAGTATATCATTCCTATTCATTACCTATATCATTACTATCTAGTATCTCTCCCGAAAAATCGCGTTTAGTCTGCGAAGTGTGGGTAAAATATACTAGGTATTATATTATTATACTATAGTTTCATTTCATATTGTAAGTTGTCGCGTACAAAATCGAAGCAAAAACCAAAACGATGTCCGGATTTGGAAAAAAAATGTACGTCCCACAACATCAAAAATTATATTATATCTTATTAACCCAACTCTGAGAAAACGCATTGTTATAACGCCACCGACTGCGTTTCGTAATAATATAGGTTCACATCGACGAACCGTTTGAACTACGAACTCGGTAAAATGACAACCGTTCATAATTTGACCGACAGTGCTGCAATATTATAATATATCGTCTATATATTATAATAGTATGATGAGTGACGTACCTACGTGTTCTCGTTCCGTACACATACCTCTGGTATACGCATCTCCGTATCGACACTATTTCGTTATGGCTTAAGTTGTGCGGATACCACCGCTGGTTGGCCTTCGTTCTCTCAAATGTGTTTTCCGAATAATATTTCGGGTGTTAGGCGAAACAAAATAAATATACATTTATATGTATATTATAAATTAGGAGAACACAGCTGTGGTTTGAGATTTCGGCTTATAAACAGATTTATACTCGCAATTAACGTATTACGTTGCGTTAAACCGATAACCTTGGCACTGGCAGTATATATATTATACAGAAGTTATCGTACCGATCTCGTCCTTAAATATAAATGACTCCGGTAATCTCTTCCTTGATGACATAACGACGGTTAAGTACGTAGTTTAGGACGCGTGTCTTGTACACGAAAAAACAAAAGTAATATTGGATTTTGAGTTCGCGAAATAATGACCAGCGGTTTTTATTGTTGCAACTGGCGGTGGCGGCGCCAGCCTTGTGCGCCTGAGAACCAGGAAGGCCTTCGGCAGTTATACGTATGTATATACGTGTATACTGTATCTATATATTTATATGCGTGTGTGTATATTATACATTTGTATGTATATAATATGTGTAATACTGAGTATAAAAATGCGTTAACGTCGATGTATGTGTATTTGTGTGTAAAAAACTAACAAAGACAGTTAAAAAATAAATCTCAGAACAGGGGCGTTGTTGTTGCCGTACAGTTGTGTGCATACACCTGTCCCTCGACCCTCGAATTAGGTCAGCCATCTGCCGATCCCGTTTCTTCAATTGGAGACAATTATAACGTTTTTTTTTTTACATCAAATATGTATCTCAAAGCCACACATAATATGTACACACACATATCAATGTGTGTGTGTCAACAGGTGTTTTGTGTTGAGATTTCGGAGACTAATGTTTTTGTTTTTTTTTTGTTTCAGGTCAGTATATTTGGGTTTAGACGAAGAATCGTACGCTAGCATTAAAGATTCTGTTAAAGAGTTTTGGAATCTAATAGGGTGAGTGTTATTGTAACGATATTTAACTCGACCGGCCGGACAGTGGCGGCGGCTTTGTTAATACGGACGGCGGATGTCCGTGATGCCGTCGCACATAAGACGCGTCCTCCGTTGGTGGTCCGCGAAGGCCTGTCCCGGTTTTGTACGGTGGCAGCTGCTGCAGGATCGTAAAAATTCGCAGTACTCTGCAGTTTTATGTCTCACAGCCGTCACGCTCCGCGTACACACCCGTTTACAAACGTGTTTTCGGATCCTCTTTCTTATTTTTACTGGACATCTATGGAGTTTTTTGGATTACTGGACCGTTTTTGGTACGCATGCCATATAGTATACATGATGTGCGCATTTCAGATGCAGAAGCGAGATCGCGTGGACCAGATAAGTTTCAATGTATATTGATAAAGCTGAAGCGGAGCTTTTCCGTTGGGGTGGCACCATCCCCATAGCAACACCCGTGGCTCCGCTGTAGTGCGTTTGTTCGCTCCTCGTCCAGCTCCCTACGCCCCGTCTACCCGTCCCTAACCCTATTTATACTCGTTCTACTTTAGGGCGTGGCGCTCGCGATCGTAAAGTTACCCGGTGCAATGCCGTAGTATAGCGCGTTGTATGTTGTATATACGACATTGGGGATTTATAAACCGACAGAGTTTTCCATAGTGCTGCAGCGTTCACTCGTGGATGCGCGCGACGGTGACAAAGGAACGGTGTATCAGAGAGAGAGAGAGAGAGTGAGAGTTTGTTGTACAACACAACGTCTATAATACGTCTTTTTCTATGGGTCGTAAGATTTCGGTTGTATGCGCATTATAGTCACTGAGCGGCCACTCTCTCCGGGGACTTTTAGTTACAGTTATTTAAATTTTACTATCAGAATGTGTTGTGTGTACACACTGCAGCAGAATAGATAACGCGTATACTGATATATACTGTTCTACGCCAACAAAGTGTGAACGAGTCGTATAACTCGCGGGTTATCACCATAATACTATAATCCCAATTATTGTAACGTTTTCTTTGTGTTCTTATTTTTCCGTCGACGGATTATTTAAAACGAAAAATAGATATTAATATGCCGCCCTCTCCACGCGTGTACCTATAATATTATATTATACACAACGTTACAAAAAATAATAATGTTATTATCGTAATGTACATCGACGGAGTACGTATAAGTAGT